CCATCGGCTGTGGGCTTCTGTTCTACACAAATGCTGCATAGATACTAAATCTATTTTCTGTCTTTGTTTGCTCTGCAATCTTGCAGCTTTCTTCAGTCATCCCATGCAAGGGAAACGTCTGAAATCGCCTTATGTAATCCATATTCTATCTTGATATTTAAATTTCCACAAATGGATTAGATAACTCTTTTCCTCTCTGTCCTGTTTTTAAATATTTCCAAATCTGAAGAGATTTTGATTTGGGCTGTGATGGGTCCTGGTAATATGGTCTGTTTGATATTTTAATGAAACTCTAAATTCCACAGCAAATTTCTGTCCTTTTCTCTGAAGCTTAGGAAAAATTTCCCTTATGCCCCTAACTCTGATGTAGTCTTTGAATGTACAGCTTACAGATCTGACTTTATATATAGCAAGTTTACAGAATGCTTAGATTTTCTCTGAACAAAAAAGTCTTGAAGAAAGGGTGGTTCATTTAGAAAGTCGGATACAGTTCCCAGAACATGCTAGAGAGAGATCCCAAGGGGGCAGTGTTGTAAGGCCTCTGGATATCCAATAAACTGACTGGGACTAGAAATGGCTCAGTGATTAGGACTTACTGCTCTTGCAGAGGGCCTGAGTTCCATCCTAGCAATCATAACGTCTGGCAGCTTACAACTCCAGCTCCAGGTGAACAAATACACACGTGAAACAAAAAAAAATTTTTTTTCTTTTTTCTTTTTCGAGACAGAGTTTCTTTGTGTAACAGCCCTAGCTGTTTGGAACTAGCTCTTGTAGACCGTGTTGGTCTCGAACTCACAGAGATTCACCTGCTTCTGCCTCCCAAGTGCTGGAATTAAAGGCATGCGCCACCACTGCCCGGCTGAAACAAATCTTTAAAACAAAATGCAAGCAACTGTAGATGCTGCAGGTTAATTGCACAGCATGGTGGTGTTGGACAGCACTGCACTCTGACGCATGGCTACACTTTATCCCAAAATCGAATCCAGGACCCAACAGCAAGCAGACTTCCAGCTGAGGCTCCAGTGACTTGAAGCAAACACCTCAGACCTGGCACAAAGACATCCTTTGTCTGCAAATTCTGGAATAGCAAAACATCAGTAGATGCCAAGGGGACCAGCCAGAACCCAAGAAAACCAGGAGTGTCTGAACAAGAGCCTGAGCCAGCAGGTACCTGGAGCTGGGGTTCAGTGAATGTCTTGGCAGGTCCTAGAAATGATCTCAGCATTACCTGTCGAACCGGTCAAGGGTGTCACAGCTGTGGCCCAAAGGCTGGGATAAAAAGAATTGGTGAATCTATGGCCTAGGCAGTAAGAGATGTCCTGTCACCCCAAACTGTTTCCAGGACAAAGGAAATCGTGATGATCTCCGTGAACTCAGAGTGATCTGGCTCTGGGGTGGGGGGTCATTCTGCAGGACAGTGGGCAACATCATCTGTAGAGTGTGGGTGCTCACATTGATTGGTTCTCAGAGTCAGGTTTCTCGGGTGATTCTGACTTGATTGGCTGGCTCCTGAGTGAGGGCTGCTGATGACTGGCTTGTTTACAAGCATGTGCTCTGGGAACTGCATTGTCCTTGATCAGAGGAAGAGGCTTAGACAACCAGCAAGCCTCCTTGTTACCATGGCTACAGAACAAGCAGTCTGTCCCTGAGTCACCACATGCAGAGCCTCCTTCTAATCTGTAAATCTGTTTCTTGAGCATTTTGGCGGATCCAGGTGACCTGTCTTGCAAATCAACTGAATCCACACTGCAGGGCTGAGTGTCTCTGTCCCCCAACTTCAGCACCACAAAGCTGTGGATAGAGCATGCTAGATTTGTAGTAAAACCATAAACAAATACCTAGCATACCAAATATTTTGTTTTGAAACAAAACAAAAGCAAAAAATAAAAAGAACCCAAGAGCTTTAGCAAGTGGTACCTGTCCCCAAATAACTCAGTTATTGAAAGACAAAAGGCCTGTAAAGCTGGAAACTTTTCATGAATCTAAAATTGTGAAACACCTGTTTGAAGTGCATGCAGAGATGGCGGTAGATCTAACTCGGTCCAACTGCTCACTCACTCTGTGTTAGCCTCTACTCTCTTCCTGAGATCTGCTAGCGAATGTATTAAGCTTTTACGGTAATCCTTATAGGTTATAGGCAGTACAGACTCAGTTAAGTGCTCCATTGTAGCTGTTGATTAGCAGAGAGCAGAGACAAGATCTGGAAGGGGAGGGAAGGGAAGCACACAAACCTGAAAGCAAGAGGACGTGGAAGCTTCTCAAACAGTTAGAATCTCCTACCAATGGATCAGACAGCCCCATGAACAGGGATTTCAATCACTGAGCTCTTGCGTGAGGGGATGTTGAACACAGCACCAGAACATGGCCTGGAAGAAGGATCCATGTTTCACGTGGAAGTGTGTTCTGATGAGTTGACATAACCTGAAGTGAGCCGGAAAGAGGGAGCCTCAACAGAGAAACTGTCCAAATCAGCTTGCTCTGTGGCCATGTATGTGATTAATGATGTGGGAAGGCCCAGACTCCTGTGGGCAGCACCTGTGAGTCAGCCTCAGCGTCAGCACTCCTCTGGGGTTCCTGCTTTAGCTCCTGCTGGGGTTTCGGCCTTGACTTCCTCACTGAGGAGAAGTGACCTGGAAGTGTAAACTGAATATAAACCCTCCCCTGTTCCAGTTGCTTTTGGTCATGGTATTTATCCCAGTCACAGAAGAAAAACAGGCTTGGGGGGATGCTTCTCTGAGAAATATGGGGCTCTATTACTACACTCTGGAGAATTTCTGATGCAAAAACCACATCCCAGTGTTCCCATGCCTCTAGCACCCCGAGTATTGCAGCACCCCTGTGTCTTCAGTACTCCCAGTGCTGCTGTTACCCACATGTTGCCAGCATTCCTATTGCCACCAGCAATGCCCAGTTTGTCCCATGAAAAAAATGTCAAGAGTGCTGACGACTTCTTGAGGGAGCAAGAGTCAGAGGGTAGGACCTCCTGGGAGTCTTGGGGGAGTTTGTTCTCCTTCTATTGTGTAGTCTCTGCTGATAGATAGATAGATAGTCTCAGGTCATCAGGCTTGATGGCAAGCGCCTTCACTCACTGAGCCACCTCACCTGATGGCTTAGTTAGGGTTTCTATTGCTGTGAAGAGACACCATGACCACAACTACATTTTTTTTTTTTGAGACAGGCTTTCTCTGTAGCTTTGGAGTCTGTCCTGAAACTCACTCTGTAGACCATGCTGGCCTTGACTCATAGAAATTCACCTGCCTCTGCCTCCCAAATGCTGGTATTAAAGGCGTGTGCAACCACTGCCCAGCTAACCAAAGCAACTCTTATAAAAGGAAAACGTTTAATTGGGGACCTTACTTTAGCAGAGATTTAGTCCATTATCATCATGACAGGACATGACAGTGTGCAGGCAAGCACGGAAAAGGAGCTGAGAGTTGAGAAGGAGCTCCATCTTGATCCCACAGGCAACAGGAAGTAGTCTGAGTGTCACACTGACTGAAGCTTGAGCAAAGGACCTCAAAGTTCACCCCCACAGCTAGCCAGCCTCCAGATGGCAAAGGAAAGTCACTCATCTCCACAGGGTACTAGCTGGTTGGGTTAGGTACCTGGTATGAGAAGAATAGCAAATAAATTTTTAGTCTTCACTGTTTTGTTTATGATAAGCTCATCGGGATATATGTTAATTAATTTTCTTTTTGCTGGGATAAAATGCCTGACAGAGCAACTCCGGGGAGAAAGGCTTTGCACTCACAGTTTGTGGGTTCAGTCTATCATGGCAGGGAGGTCATGGTGGCAGGAGCCTGAGGTAGCCGCTCACACTGTATATGTGCAACTGGGAAGCAGAACGTGGCCGACACTGGTGCTCTACTTGCTCTCTCCTTTTGTTCCGTCTGGGACCCCCAGCCTATGGGATGGTGCCACCCACATTTACAGTGTATCTTTCCCTCACAGACAAGCCTGGAAGTTAGCCTCCCAGGCGATTTGGATTCCACCCAGTTTTCAACCTGCAATTCACGACCACAGAATAGACCTGTCTTCTGTGCCTTTGCCACAAAATCCACATGCCTCATATTCTAGTTTCAGTTATGTTGCTGCGATAAAACACACCAACCAAAATCAACTTGGGAGAGGGGAGTGTTTATTTTAGCCTACAATGCCAGTCCACAGTCTATCACTGAGGAAAGCCAAGGCAGGAACTGGAAGGCAGGCCTGCCTCCTATCCACACAGCATCACCTCCAGTTGAGAAACTTGCTTCTCAGCCAAAGAAGGAAAGCAGGAAACATGGAGGATGCTTCTTGCTGGCTGGTTTGTACGACGGCTTAGAGCAGTAGCTCTCAACCTTCCCAATGCTGCGACTCTTTAATACAGTTCCTCATGGTGTGACGATCCCCAACCATAAGTTATTTTCATTGCTATGTCATAACTGTAATTTTACTACTGTTATAAATTATGATGTAAATAGTTTTGGAGATAGAGGCTTGCCAAAGGGGTCCTGACCCACAAGTTGAGAACTGCTGGCTTAAACTCAATGAATTTTCTTACACAATTTGGGATGACTTGCCTAGGGATGAGATTTCCCATAGTGAGCTGGGCAAACACACACACACACACACACACACAGGTCACAGGTCAATCTGATTCAGGCATTTTCTCAATTAAGGCTTTCCTCTCTGCCCTATGCCAAGTTGACAGCCAAAGTTAATGAGGACACCCCACACTCTACTTGTTTTTGTTGTCCCTTTAGTTGATAAGATATCCACAAACTCCCTTGCATCGAAATCTGTGTGTTGCAACATCTTCCCTTTCCCAAGAAGCAGACACTGGCCCTGTCATTGCATTGCTATACCCTCTAGTTTATGGGACTCCCCACCTAAATGCCAACACTTCCTTTGGAGGAGCTTGTGGGACTCGGACCCATCTGTATCTGGGTTCAGCTTGGACACCACCTGGCAGGTGGGAATAGTCTGCTCCTTACACCATGTCTGTTTGTACTTTGCAGGTGAAGGATGCAACACAACAGCCTCAGATGGTGTTCACCGTCCGCCACGCCACTGTTACCTTCCAGACAGAAGGGGACACGTGGCGGGAGCAGAAGGAGCAGAGGGCGGCCCTCATGGTGGGCATCCTCATCGGGGTGTTTGTGCTCTGCTGGTTCCCTTTCTTTGCCACGGAGCTCATTGGTCCCCTGTGCTCCTGGGACATCCCTGCCATCTGGAAGAGCATCTTCCTGTGGTTGGGCTATTCCAACTCCTTCTTCAACCCACTCATCTACACAGCCTTCAACAGGAGCTACAGCAGTGCTTTCAAGGTCTTCTTCTCTAAGCAACAGTGAGCAGCCAGCTGGAAGTGGACGCTCCTGTCCCACGAACCTTCGTAGTCCACCCAGCAGTCCTGAAGGTCCACCTGCCAAGGGCACCAGGGTCACATCAGAGCTCAGCTCAGCTCACATCTGTGCTCGTGTGTTGGGAGTTGTCTTCCCCTGAAGGCACTGGTGGCTTCTGTCCCCAATCTGGGTACTCTCCCTTACTCTGTACCAGCAGCCGCGGACCTGGCCCACAAAGTGCCCATTCCTCCTCTACATGCACTCCAGCACGGCCATGAGGAGACAGGAGGGAGGAGAGAGGGAGCGAAACAACTCAGGCAGGTAGAGAGAGGCAGAAAGAATGGCAAGGCCTAAAGCTGTCGGCGATTGCACGCCTGTTAATCCAGTACTCAGGAGACTAAGGCAAGAGGATCTCAAATTCAAAGCCAGCTTGGGCTACATAATAGGTTCAAAACCAACTTGGGCAACAAAATGCCCCAGTGAGGCTGTTTGCAGAGCAGAAGACCAGAGGCCAAATTTTCCAGAATAGCTAGTCCTTATTTCAGAGCTGTGCTCTGCGGGCCTTGAGTGTGTGCCCTAACACTTACTGAGCGCTTCCTAGTATCTGACGACAGAGCTTTGTCCTCAAGCATATCAAAGCACAGTTCCACTTGTGAGGCCAGTAACTGCTGTTTTGTTCATGGTAAACACACACACACACACACACACACACACATACACACACACAAGCACACGCACACACACACTGCAGAAAAGGACAGTTTCCAGTTAAAATCAACTCAGTCCATCAGCTTGAAACTGGAAAAAAACAAAATATTTCCTTCCATTTGGAAACAACTGTCACAAAATAGAAAAATCTAGTAATTTCTCAGAATTTGTTAAAATTGTTTATTTGCTATGAGTTTTTCCTTTGTGTAATTCCTTCAAATGTCTCTGGCCTTAGTGTTTCACCCTAGATAATAGATTTCAGGTTAATGATGGCCATGAACTGCTGACGTCTCAATATGGTTTCACAGTTAACTAGACACAAGGGTCTGTCCAATCAGACATATGCGTTTATAGGAGTGCTGGCCACTTTGTAGCTGTGGTTTTGTTGGTATATGAACCTGATCAGTAGTCTCCAAGATGGTCAGACAACGGTCAAATAGGGTCTCTATCAAGTTGGCAATGTAACGGGTGTGTCTAGAGAGTCCGGTAAAGACACAGAGTTTATGTGGTCACAGAAAACCTTGGGTGCACCCATACCGCCTGACAAAGCTTTGAGAGCATTATCCAAAAAAACTAAGGTGAAAAAGAAGAGATAGTCACCTTTCCAAAACCCTGTGCGTATTGACTTCTCACACAAACTGAGGATGGACTTGGTTCTCAGCAAAATTCTGAGTGAGCAAAGGCACCCATGCTTCCGATCAGAGCAGTGAGAAACATTGTGGGGTTTTTACGGCCGTGGAGGGGCTCATCCGGGGCACTGGAACTCAGAGCCGCTGGATGACAATGCCATTGCAGAGCTGGTGTGTTTCTTCTGTTGACTTCATCCTCAAGAGTTTTGGGGGGGGGTTGTTTGCTTGATTTTTGGTTTTGGAGATAGGGTTTCTCGTTGTAACTGTTCTGACTGTCCTGGAACTCACTTTGTGGATCTGGTTGGCCTTAAGCTCAGAGAAATATGCCTGCCAATGCCTCCTGAGTGCTGGGATTAAAGGTGTGAGCAGTCACTGCCTGGCTCAGAGTTTTTAAGTATTTCTTCGTGTTTAAGACAGGGCCTCACGAAAGTAACCTTGACTGTCCTGGAACCTATTATGTAGATTAGACTGATCCTAAACTCACAGAGATCTGCCTGCCTCTGCCTTTGCTTCTGCCTCTCGAGTGCTGGGATAAAAGGTGTGTACTCCCATACCTGGACCAAGGGTTTTTTTAAGTAAAAAATTTTCCAGTACTCTGGGGCCCTTTTTCTGGGAGCTGTTGCCTGGACCAGTCACACATTCTATACTAAGGGACAGGGTCTAAGCCAGGCTGGAAATTGAACAGAATGGCTCACACATCCATGACTGTTCTTATAACCAGGGTTTGCTAACTGTTTGAACAAGAGCTTTTTTTTTTTGTTGTTGTTGTTGTTGTTTGCTTGTTCATTTGTTTATTTTTTTCTGGCTCTGGTCACAACTGACAGGACCTAAGAAGTTTGTGCGGTTGTCTGTGTTTTCAGTCTGAGTCCTCTGAAAACGATGCACATAGAATGTTCTAAACTGTGCAGATTCTGCACTTGTCCTTCACTGCTCCCCTCAGCCTGTCGAGCCGAGGAACGCAGGAGGGTGTTATTCCCTCTCTGCTCCCCTGTAGCTGCATGTGTAGAGAGACCTCCACCAGCGACTGCCCACTCAGCTGCAGGCTGAGGGCTCCCAACTGTTTATTCCATCCTTAGCACTCGAAGGGTTCTGACTGCCACCACTTTTACACAGGGCAGCTTTGCCCACATCACCTCAATTTAAGACAATGCCCTTACTCATTCAAAACGTCTGCAAACTCTCGGGCAATAAAAACTCCATTATATTCCATGTCTCTGATTCCTCAAATGCACAAATTAAAACTGTGTATTGTAACATGAATGTACAGGTCTGTTATACTGTTTATAATAAATTATACTCATCAACATTCCAACATAGAAAATTTGTAATGATTTCTTGGTGGTTTCGACATGAAGTTATCTTGAATTTCCTGCAATGACGACCTTTATATGAGAGTGTGAATAGATATGAGAGTGGTTATGGCAAACTATGCTGCTATGAACATAGTTGAGCACATATCCTTGTGGTATGATTGAACATCCTTGGATATATACCCAAAAATGGCATTACTGGGTCTTGAGGAAGGTTGTTTCCACATTTTCTGAGAAATCGCCACACTGACATCCAAAGGGGCTGTATCAGCTTGCATTCCCACAAGCAATGCAGAAGTGTTCCCTTTACCCCACAACCTCTCCAGCATAAGTTGTCATCAGTGTTTTGGATCTTGACCATTCTTACAGGTGTAAGATAGAATCTCAGAGTTGTTTTGATTTGCATTTTTTCTGATGGCTAAGGATGTTGAGCATTTCCTTAAGTGTCTTTCAGCCATTTTAGATTCCTCTGTAGAGAGTTCTCTGTTTTAGGTCTGTACTCCATTTTTTTTTTATCAGATTATTTGTTCTTTTGATGACCAATTTCTTGAGTTCTTTGTATATTTTGGAGATCAGACCTCTGTCTGATGTGGTGTTAGTGAAGATCTTTTCCCATTCTGTAGGCTGCTGTTTTGTCTTGTTGACCATGTCCTTTGCTTTACAGAAGATTTTCAGTTTCAGGAGGTCCCATTTATTAATTGTTTCTCTCAGTGTCTGTGATGCCTGGGTTATATTTAGGAAGTGGTTTCCTGTGCCAATGTGTTCAAGAGTACTTCCCACTTTCTCTTCTGTAAGGTTCAGTGTGGCTGGCTTTATGTTGAGGTCTTTGATCCATTTGGACTTGAGTTTTTTTTTAATATTTATTTTATTTAATGTTTATTTATTTATTTATTTATTATGTGTACAATATTCTGTCTGTGTGTATGCCTGCAGGCCAGAAGAGGGCACCAGACCCCATTACAGATGGTTGTGAGCCACCATGTGGTTGCTGGGAATTGAACTCAGGACCTTTGGAAGAACAGGCAGTGCTCTTAACCTCTGAGCCATCTCTCCAGGCCTTGGACTTGAGTTTTGTTCATGGTGATAGATATGGGTCTATTTTGTTGACTTTTTTCAAAGAACCAACTCTTCATCTCATAGATTCTTTGTATTGTTTTCTTGTTTCTATTTTGTTGATTTCAGCTCTCAATTTGATTATTTCCTGCTGTCTAATTCTCTCGGGTGAGCTTGCTTCTTTTTGTGCTAAAGTTTTCAAACGTTCTGTTAATTCACCACTGTGGGATTTTTTCCAGCTTCTAATGTAGGCATTTAGTACTATGAACTTTCCTCTTTTTTTTTTTTTTTTTGGTTTGGTTTTTCAAGATAGGGTTTCTATGTAGCTTTTGGAGCCTGCCCTGGAACTAGCTCTTGTAGACCAAGCTGGCCTCGAACTCACTCAGAGATCTGCCTGCCTCTGCCTCCCAAGTGCTGGGATTAAAGGTATGTGCCACCACTGCCCAGCTTGAACTTTCCTCTTAACACTGCTTTCAATGTGTCCCATAAATTTGGGTAAGTTGTGTGGTCATTTTCATTGAATTTTAGGAAGTCTTTAATTTCTCCCTTTATTTCTTCCTTGACCCATTGATGATTCAGGTGAGCATTGTTTAAGCTCCTTGTATTTGTGGGCTTTCTGGAATTAGTATTGCTGTTGAATTCTAGTTTTAAACCATGGTGATCTGATAGGATACATGGGGTTATTCCAATTTTTTTTGTATTTGTTGAGGTTTCTTTTGTTACTGAGTATGTGGTCAATTTTGAGAAGGTTTCATGAGGTGCTGAGAAGAAGGTATATTCTATTCTGTTTGGATGGAATCTTCTTAATGTCTACATAATGCTTGACCACGACCTTCTGGCCTTCATTGTCTCCAATGAGAAGTCAGGTATAATTCTGGTAGGTTTGCCTTTATATGTTACTTGGCCCTTTTTCCTTTGCAGCTCTTAATTTATTCTGTATGTTTTGTGTTTTGATTATTATGTGGTGAGGGGACTTTTTCTTTTTTGATCTAGTCTGTTTGGTGTTCTGTATGCTTCTTGTATCTTCATAGGCATATCTTTCTTTAGGTTGGGAAAGTTTTCTTCTACAATTTTGTTAAATATAATTTCTGTGCTTTTGAGTTGAACTTCTTCTTTTTCTTCTATACCTATTATTCTTAGGTTTGGCCTTTTCATGGTGTCCAGTATTTCCTGAATATTTTGGGTTAAGCTTTTGTTAGATTTAATGTTTTCTTTGACTGATGAGTCTATTTTCTCTATTGCATCTTTAGGACTTGAGATTCTATTTTCCATCTTTTGTATTCTGCTGTTCATGCTTGTGTTTGTGATTCCTGATTGTTTTCTCATGATTTCTGTTTCTATAATTCCCTTGCTTGTGTTTTCTTTATTGTCTTTATTTCAGTTTTCAAGTCTTGAATAGTTTCATATGTTTGATTGCTTTTTCTTGGTTTTCTTAAAGGGATTTGCTGATGTCTTCAATTTTTTTGCTTGTCTTTTCTTCTATTTCTTTGAGGAAATATCTCATTTCCTCTTTAAGAATTTCAAACATTCTTCTGAAGTTATTTTTTTAGGTCATTTTCTTCTGCTTCATCTATATTTAATTGTTCAAGTCTTGCTGTTGTAGGGTCTTTAGGTTTTACTGGTGTTGTGTTGCTCTTTGTGGTGTTGCATGTGTTCTTACCTTGTCTACTCATCTTTTCCTCTAATAGTTGTGGTTGGGGCTGTCTGTGATTCTGTTGATTAATCTTCCAGGTTCCAGTGAATCCAAGGCTCAAATGGTTGTTCCTCATGGTACAGTCAGTGCCATGGTTCTAGTTACCCCGTTGGCCACTCTGTGATCCTGGAAGTTGCTCAGTACTCCCGGGCTTTGTGCTATTTCCTTGGAGTTTGCTGTCTCAGGCCTGTTCTAGCCTAGGTTGTTGGCTCAGACCTGTTTCTGTAAATGTCCCTGGTCTGGATCTGTTCCTGCAGATGTCCCTGGCTTGGGGTTGGTCCTGTAAAGGACTCTGGCTCAAATCTACTCCTTCGAACTTCCCAGGCTCAGATGAGCCCAGAACCACAGAGGACCTGGCTCAGGCTTACTCCCTCAGAGGTCTTAGACTCACGCTTGGACCTGCAGAGTTTTCTGATTCCTGCCTGTTCCCTTTGCTGTCCCAGACCAACACCTGAACCCACAGAGGTCCTGGCTTAGGCCTACTCCCTCAGAGGTCCCAGATTCATGCCCAGATCCTGGCTCAGGCCTAGTTCCTGGGAGGTCCTGGACTTACGCCCAGACTCACTGGGGTCCTGGCTTAGGTCTACTCCCTTGAAGGTCCCAGATTCACGTCTGAACCCACAGCAGTCTCTGGCTCCCACTCACTCGCTCAGTGGTTGCTCCCTTGTACCTGTTCTGGTGGAGTTCACTGTCTCAGGTCTGCTCTGGCCCAGGCTGCTGGCTTGGTCCTTGTCCACAAATGACCCTGGACTGGATCCACTCCCGCTCCCAAGGAGCTTGTTTTCTCAGGCCCATTCTGGCCTAGGTAGCTGGTTCAGTCTCACTCCCATGGAGCTCACCGTCTCTCGCCTGCTCTGGCCTAGGTCTCTGGTCCAGTCCTGCTTCCACAAATGACCCTGGTTCTGGATCTGCTCCTGCTCTCATGGAGTTCACTGTCCAAGGCCTAGCCTTTATAGATAGTTTAAAATATAGACTTGCTTACTTCCTTATTTTCCCTGTCCCCACAGTCACCTGGAACCAGGGGGAACACTGGGCCCTATTGCTTTTCATTTCTATAACGCGGAATGTGTTTGTTGAGTGCCCACAAGTAATGAACATAACATATGGAATCCAGTACAAACTGTACCATGTTTGTCTATCTGAAATTCCTGGTGAGCTTTCTCACCCAGTTCCAAATTTCAATATTTATCTTACTGTTTTTTTCTTAAAGGTTTATTTGAGGCTGGAAAGATGGCTCAGTGGGTAAGAGCACATACTGTACTTGCAGAAGACCTGAATTCTGTTCCCAGCACTCCCATCAGGAGACTCACAAACACATGTAACACCATCTCTAGGAGATCTGATACTGCCAGCCTGAGCAGGCACCTGTATGCGTGCACATGTGCAAATTTACACATAGACACACCCAATTTTAAAAGTAATAAATATACTTATTTTACCTTTATTTTAATTAATTAATTAATTAATTATTTTTTGGGAAACACTGTTCCTCTGTAGCTTTTGGAACCTGCCCTGGAACTCACTCTGTAAATCAGGCTGGCCTCGAACTCACAGAGGTCCACCTGTCTCTGGTCCCAAGTGCTGGTATTAAAGGCGTGCACTACCACCACCTGACTTTTATTTTATTGGTGTGATTGTTTACTATGTGCATGAAGTGACTGAGTAAGCCAGAAGAGGTGACCATATCTCCTGGGACTGGAGTTACAGGTGGTTATAAGCCACCATATGGGTACTGGGAATTGAACTCGGGTCCCCTGGAAGGGGAACTGGTGCTCTTCACTACTGATGCATTAAAAAAAAGAGATTTATTTATTTATTTATTTATTTATTTATTTATTTATTATGTATACAGTATTCTGCCTTTATGTCTGCTTGCAGGTCAGAAGAGGGCACCAGATCTCCTTATGGATGGTTGTGAGCCACCAAATAGTTGCTGGGAATTGAACTCAGGACCTCTGGAAGAGCAGCCAGTGTTCTTAACTGCTGAGACATCTCTCTAACCCCTAGACACATTTTTTTTAAGGTCCATTTCTTTGAAACTTTTCATTAAGGCTGAGGAAAAGATGAGGTCAGAGTGTCCCTCACTGTCCCGTGATTCTATACACGCTTGAATCTCTAATAGAAGCTATTATCAGTTTTCTCATAAGAAGAACTCATACATTTTCATTCAGATGCGTCTCCCAGACAACACTTAAATCACACATGTTCTGCAAATGTTACC